TATATATATATATATATATACACACACACACACACACACATACACATACACACATACCAATATAAAAATAAAACCAACTAAAACTACAGTCATACGTAATAAAATAAGAAAGAAGATCATAAATCAGAGACTACTAGGGAGCTATTGTTACGTATTTGATCATGTGTTCCGAATATGATAACATGCCACCCAGAATTTCGCCACAGATTCAGTCATTGTCTGGTTCCTATCGATTAACAGTCGGTTACACTGCTCAGCAGCTGTTTGTCCCACCATATCTATTTTGAGCGGATTAATATATTTGTCACGGATCTTGTTATACCAGTTACATCTGAGCATCATGTGCTCGATAGTTCTATCTCCCCTGAGCCACATTGGCAAAATCTGTATTCAGTGGGGATCCTTTTGAATCTGCCCTCAAGCAGTGCGGAGGGGAAAGCCTCCCATCTGGCTAACTTGTGAATATCAAGCTGTGATAAATAGGACATGGGTTGCACGCGATATATGACAGAATCCGGGGCTCTAAACTTAGGACATCTACTGAGATCTGCCTGTCTCTCCATGTCCATCATTCTCTGCTTTAGGGCTAATTTCGCTACATCCCAACGCATACTCAAAATTGCTCGGGAGGGAGATTCCAAGAGCATGTCGTTTGTTATGAACTGCTCTCAGCCATTCGGATTGAAAGTTGTCTGAGAGTAGCAGGTGGGTTAGTCCCCGAGGGCAGAAATTTAATTTAAGCTATTACTGGTGTGAGGCTGAAGTAATTTTGGCTCCCATCGATATAACACCTGTCTCTAAATAGATCAGTGTATTTGATACACACCTCGGGACCTGAAGAACTGCTCTAAAAAAATTGGACTGAACCCGCTCTAAGGGGGCAAAACTAGAGGAAGGAGGCCCAATAAAAGTGCCTTAAAGCATCTGCCCAACTGCCTTTGCTTGGAAAAGTTTTTGGGCCGGGGGTCAGGACACACAGAGCATCCTTTCCTTCCTGCTCTCTGATAGGATCCCTTTGAAGTAGCATGCTATTCTTAGGGACAAGACTTCCTTCTCTCCAGCTTATCATCTCTCTCTCACACACACAGAGAAGGAGCAACTCTCCATTTTTGGCATCATGGATGTAGGACCTCAGTTCTGCATCTGCATCCATCCTAGCTAGAGTACAGTCTAACCCTATCTCTCATCCTATACTATCTAGAATGGAGTTCCCTAAATAAAGGGCTGTTATTAGCTTGAAACTGACAAAAAGGCTCAGTGTAACTTTGTATCTTTGCTAGCACACACAGCACTGAGAAGCTGCTGCTGCGTGTAAGCCGAGTGCACCCTGCTACCTAATAGAGATTCCTGGTTATACCATAGCAGTGAATCTAAAAGATCTTATCACCCATGCTATGTAATATGTACATGAAGCTGCTGGGAGAGGTCATCATGAGGTTTGGGCTGCGGTGTCCCCAATATGCAGATGACCCCCAGTTCTGCCTCCCCCCCCCACTCCTAACTTCAAACATGTTGTTGATGTTTTGAACCAGTCCTTGGAATCGGTAATGGGCTGGATGAGCATGAATAAGCTGAAACTTAACCCTGTCCAGACAGAGGTTCTCTGGGTTAGCAAAAAGGCAGACCAGGAATTTCAGATCTCTCCTGTCGTGGGTAGGGTTATACTCCTCTTGAAGAGCCAGGTTTGCAGTTTGGGAGAGTCACTGGACACAGGCAGAGGTCATTTCGGGGGGGATCGCGGGGGACCGCTGAGTCCTGTAGGAGGAAAACTAGCGAACGGACATTTTAAATAAAATTAAAAAATAGCAAAGAAGCTGCATTAAAAAAATCTTGTGGCAGTGATAAAATTCTGTTGAAATCCTCTCTGTGGCCCCGGTCACACGGAGGATTTGCCGCGCTAAAGGCACGAATGTCAGGCGGATTTTCAGGGTGTGATCACACCGCAACATCTGGGAAGCATAGCGCACCCGTGGCCAACCCGTGGCATCCCGCCAAAGATGCGCAGTAAAAAAGTACCTTGGAAAGTGCACTAGTATCTGGAAAACGCAGGGCGGGGCGGGCGTCTGATCGCGGGAGCACTAGTATCCTGTGGCATCCGGTGCCCATCCACATCCCGTCGCAAACTAGATGTTTTTTGTAAGTGCATGCGTACAAACACGTAACTGAAAGTAGTGCTGCTCTGCGGAACTGCACATGTGCACAAACGTGAAACGCTTGCTGCGCCACTTCTTTGCCACGCTCCAGCATCGCCGTGTGATCGCCAGCTAACAGCCTAAGTGCGAAGACTCCGGGAACCGTGTGATCGGGCTACCACACTTTATTTTGCTCCGGGGCAAATAGCCACGCCTCCCCCCCGCGTTCTCTGGCCCATGTAATCGGGACCAGAGTTTATTAACTGGAAACACTCATCTGCAACCGGTCATCCGGCTATGTGAGTCTGTGGAATACCTTAACAACTCATGTCAACTTCTTATCTTTCAGGTATTTCATGACTGCAGTTGCGTGGGAGCTTCCGGGCCCAGCAATTTCTCTGCCATTTTGGGCCAGTGTCCAAGGGAGAAATGCTCAAAAGAGTTCCCGTATTTTATGGCTCTTTTGGCCGTAAATGTGTTGTTTTTCTGCCTGGGAGCGACACCCTTCTACATGATTATGTTCAGGTTTGTTTATTTTAGGAATTTCTCATTCTTCGTGAAGTCTGGGCCAAGGTAAATCGGAGGGGGAAATCCAATCACTATCCTGCACTTCACCTGTTGCTTTTATGTCTTGGGTTGCCAGGTGCCCACAGTGGGCAGGGGAACCTCCGCCCCTGCCTTCCATAGCCCACCGTTGCTCCTGTGAGCAGCAGGAGCAAAAATTGGGGGTTGGGATGCCAGCCCCTAGATAGGGCCTGGGGATCTTCCAGAATTACAGCTCATCTCCAGACTACAGAGATCAGTCCCCCTGGGAGAAAATGGATGCTTTGGAGGGTGGACTCTATGGCATAGTGCCCCACTGAGGTCCCTGTCCTCCCCAGGCTCCACCCCCAAATCTCAAGCATTTTCCCAACCTGGACCTAGGGTTACCAGCCTCCAGGTGGAACCTGGGGATCTCCCGCTTTTACAACTGATCTCCAGCTGACAGAGATCAGCTCCCCTGGACAAAATGGCTGCTTTGAAGGGTGGACTCTATGGCATTGTACCAAGCTGAGGCCCCTCCCCTCACCCCACCCTTTCCTGGATCCCCAAAGTCTCCAGGTATTTTCCAACCCAGACCTGGCAACCCTACCTGAATATGGCAACTCTGCCCTCCACCCTATGCATATGAATGGGGAATACCTGGTTAGGTAAAGGTAAAGGTTCCCTTGCTCGAAAGCCAGTCAAATCCGACTCTAGGGTTGCGGTGCTCATCTCCGTTTCAAAGCTGAAGAGCCAGCGCTGTCCGAAGACGTTTCCGTGGTCGTGTGGCCGGCATGACTAAACACCAAGGTGCACGGAATGCTGTTACCTTCCCCACCGAAGTGGTACCTATTTATCTCCTTGCAATTTCTTGCTTTCGAACTACTAAGTTGGCAGGAGCTGGAACTAGTGTCGGGAGCTCACTCCGTCATGCGGCACCCGTGTCTCGAACTGCTGAACTACTGACCTTCCACAGCCTGCAGTTCAGTGTCTTAACCACTTGAGCGACCGCAGCTCCAGGACCTGGTTGGGGCACTAAAATTATAGAATTCGCTCCCCAGGGAGATCTGTCTATCCCCTTCTATCACTGCTTTCCAGTAGCAGGTAAAGACTTACCTGTCTTGTCTGCCACTACCTCACTTGTGTAGATTTAAAAAAAACCGATGTAGATGTTCTGTTTAATTGTTGTTTTTATTGTTTTTATATGATACAATGTTTTTGAGGACATTAATCCATACGGTTGCCATGTGCTGGAAGCAACTTGGTGGCACTTAGTACATACACACACACACACACATTTTAAAGCTTGTTTAAATGTTTTGTTATTGTTTGCCACCTTGGGGACCCTAAACTGATTGGGAGGGCTGTACAGAAGTGTTTTAAATAAATAAATAAGTTTAATGGGAAATATTCTACATGAGTGTAGTGTATTCAAAGCTGCCTTGAAGCATGATATGTTGTGAAACATCTAATTGACTTGCCATGTTGAGCTTCGTCCTGGGCTAGGATCCAAATCCATCCAATCGTGTGTTACTAGCTCAGGAAGCACCTAACCAATCACCTTCTAGCAGGCTCCCTGAGCGGGAACATCCATGATTGGTCCTTATGTGAACAACCTTATTGGTTGGTATTTGTACAGTGGGTGTGGCTACATTAGCCGGGAATGTTTAAAAGCAGGACAGCTGCAATGTAAAGGCTGTTCTGGCTATCAGATGTTGATCCGTGTTGGAGTTGTGTTCGAGTGGAAGAATAAAGTTGTGTTCTTGCTGAATCACTCTCCGACTGCTTTGTTAAGCGAGCGACTTAACAATGAGGAAACAGGAGATGATGCCAAAACAAATTTAGATGTGGTCAACGGAGAGATGAGAACCAGAAATTTGGAGCTGAAGTAGTGGGACGGCAAAACTGAACAGCATCCCTATTTTTAGGCATTTACCAAGGTTTCACTGAAATCACTAACAGCATAATCCTAGATTCGGGTGGGTAGCCATGTTGGTCTGAAGCAGCAGAACCAAGTTTGAGTCCACGGACACCTTTAAGACGAACAAAGTTTAATTCTGGGCATAAGCTTTCTTGTGCACACACACTTCTTTAGATTGTGTAATCCTAAACATCGTTGCACCATCCTAAAATCATTAACTTCAATGGATTTAGAAAGGTGTCACTCTACTTAAGATTACACTGTAAACATGGATGTTTGTGATTAAAAACTAGAGGCCAGCCGGCTGCCAGTTGGGAGAACACTTGCTGAAATCTAGGGGACAAATGGCAGACAATTAAAGGTGGTGGTCCTTAGCTTCAAAGCCATAAATAGTCTGAAGTAGAGCTGTCAGGGACAAGGGGGGGGGGCTGGCATCACAAGCATGATGACATCGCTTCTAGAGAAAACACAGATGCGACAGCGGCAGTCTGAAGTAGAGCTGTCAGGGACATGGGGGAGGAGGGCTGGCATCACAAGCACGATGACATCGCTTCTAGAGAAAACACAGATGCGACAGCGGCAGCTCTAGGAATTGTTGGAAACTCTATGGTAAGACCATAGAGTTTCTGACCATTCCTAGAACTGCCGCTGTCACTTCTGTGTTTTCTCTAGAAGTGATGTCATCGTGCTTGTAACACCAGTGAGTTTTTGAAGGGGAGGGGATTCCTCACCTTGACCAGGGACTTGGCAGGCCTGGTCTGAGAGCAGGTTATTTGCTTCACATTCTGAGAGGAACTTTCGTATCAGTTAAGATTCTCTTCATGTTCCTGCTCTCTGCGTGAGCCCACCACCAGCAGTGAGGTGGCATGGCAGCCGGCAGTGACGCAGGGCCTTTTCTGCTGTGGTACTTCAAAGACGTACTGCCTGCCCCCAGCTATCTGTATGGTTCTTAAATTGCTGGATTTTAGGGATTAGGCAAATATTCATTTTCCTAGGCATGTGTGGATTATTATGGCCCTATTACTAATTTAGACTGTGCCAGTGTATGTTTGGTTGACTTTTCATCAGTTCTTCTTGACTTTTTAATCTGTATTTTTAGCAGCATATTACGGTTGTGCTCCTTTTATGGTTGTGCTCTATTCCTGTTTTCATAATTTCACAAGCAGCTTTTTGCTGCTGTACTCTTTTTATGGTTTTATTGTTGTTTTCATAACTCACCATTTGATGCATTGGCTGATTTTTATACTGCTGCCTTTGGTTGTATTCATTTTTTTAATTTCTTTTTGCAAAATGCCTTTCCAGTTTTAAAGGATGCGGGACTAATGATATCAATAAATAAGACATATATAAATATCCTATTCTCTGCTTTCTGTTTTTCAGGACAGTTTCGCCAGAGTTAAAATCTTTCGCTGTGGGAATCGAAACTTTGTGCGGAAGACTATTAGGTAAATGTTTACCCTGTTTGATCTGAAATACTAATTTAGTTTTTAAACTGTATAAGTAATATTCTGGAGGAAAGACATTGGCTGATTTCGCACTAGAGCTGCCTCGATGATGCGCCGCCATTTGCCCCGATACTATTGGTCAATTTCACACCCGAAGCTGCGGGGCTGCATTTTGACTCGCAGCTTCGCCCCATTTCCCCCGCAGTTTCGTGATCCTGTTTTTTGAGGATCACAAAACTGCGGAGGAAATCGGGCGAAGCCGTGGGTCAAATGCAGCCCCACGGCTTCGGGTGTGAAATTGACCAATAGTATC